TAAATTTCTACTAGAATTTATTAGTATCTTATTTCTAAACTTTCAAAATTTTAAACAGTATTTTAAACCTGGATGAACACATAATACATGCACAACAGTAAAGGCAATTCTAGTAGAATAGTAAATGAATTTGCAAATGTGCATTTCACAAGTTTTCGAGTTTGATGTACATTACTGACATACTTGACCATAAAAGGGATACAGAGGTTGCATGTAGTCAGGATTTGTTTGAAGTAACAGAAACATTTAGCCTATGTTAGTTCCCTATTCACCCTGCACAGAAAAATTTATTATGACAAGTGATCATTACCATGGGTTAGTGTAAAATACACTGAGGATCACCTTAAAGCCTCGTACATAATCTACCTCACTTAGATGGCATGCAAGTAATGGTGGTAAATGCTATTCCCTGGATATAATGCCAAAGAAATATCGCAGTTCGTGTGAGATATGGACAACCATTTCACTGAAAGAGACAGTAGATTAGAGACTTGGGGGTTTTCAGATCTGGTGATGCATTAAAATATGAGTACCAATATAATTTTAATATGTGTAATACTGTGCTACTTAATGTACAGTACATATATAAACAAATGTTTTATTAATTTGCAACAGTTCAAGTACTGGCACATGCCAGAGCCTCCATAAATGCATCTTTCAGCATGATGGCACATTAACTCCAGCGAATTTACACCACTTGCTTTGCTGCACTCGCTTATCGTTTTAACAACAACAAGTAAACTTCAAATGCTGCATGTCCACAAAGTTAGCACTAATCAATGTTGCTGTGGAAGCGCCAGAAGGTATGCTGGTGAGTAAGACACTATACCTTATCAAGTACACGTACTTGTGTATTATTATTATAATCAAAAAGAAACGCTAAGCCACGTACTTGTCTAAAAACGTACAATAAAGATTTCTCTAAAATCAGTGTCTTACTCACCATACTGTAGGTGCTTCACCATATTTTGGAAATAAAAGTATGTTCTTTTGCATACATACTTTTCTTCCTACAATACTTAGGTGATGTTAATAGGTATATTCCTTATTACATCAACTGTATATTCTATATACCTTAAATCTCTTATTGCCTACAATTTAAACCTTGCATTCCCAGTCGAATTTTTTCAAATATTAATAGTGAACATGGCTTACATCAGTAACAGACATTTTCCCCATAACACATCAGCAAGTAATAACATACAATGGAAAAGACACACAAATGGAGTATAATGTGAACCTTTATTGATGATGTTTCACACACACAATGGGCTTAAAGTTCTGTGACTTGATCAAGCTCAGTGTGTGGACAAAATGTTGTCAATACAGGATTGCACTATACTGCTTTGTCTCTCTTTTTTTCCACTGTGTGGTATTTTATGTAATTTCTCTCTCAAATAACGAACAGTAATTTCTCTCCTATTCAAATAAAATGTGTAGATGTATATAAGAATTCCAGAAAATTGCAAATGCAATGATGCTTATTATTCAACCTTTTTTTCATTCAGACTCAGGTTTCTAACACCCGTTTTTCATTTCATATATTTTTTTTTTTTTCAACAAGTCGGTCGTCTCCCACCGAGGCAGGGTGACCCAAAAAAAAGAAAGAAAATCCCCAAAAAGAAAATACTTTCATCATCATTCAACACTTTCACCACACTCACACATTATCACTGCTTTTGCAGAGGTGCTCAGAATACAACAGCTTAGAAGCATATACGTATAGAGATACACAACATATCCCTCCAAACTGCAAATATCCCAAACCCCTCCTTTAAAGTGCAGGCATTGTACTTCCCATTTCCAGGACTCAAGTCCGACTATATGAAAATAACCGGTTTCCCTGAATCCCTTCACTAAATATTACCCTGCTCACACTCCAACAGATCGTCAGGTCCCAAGTATCATTCGTCTCCATTCACTCCTATCTAACACGCTCATGCACGCTTGCTGAAGTCCAAGCCCCTCACCCACAAAACCTCCTTTACCCCTCTTTCCAACCCTTTCGAGGACGACCCCTACCCCTCTTTCCTTCCCCTATAGATTTATATGCTTTCCATGTCATTCTACTTTGATCCATTCTCTCTAAATGACCAAACCACCTCAACAACCCCTCTTCTGCCCTCTGACTAATGCTTTTATTAACTCCACACCTTCTCCTAATTTCCACACTCCGAATTTTCTGCATAATATTTACACCACACATTGCCCTTAGACAGGACATCTCCACTGCCTCCAACCGTCTCCTCGCTGCTGCATTTACCACCCAAGCTTCACATCCATATAAGAGTGTTGGTACTACTATACTTTCATACATTCCCTTCTTTGCCTCCATAGATAACGTTTTTTGACTCCACATATACCTCAACGCACCACTCACCTTTTTTTCCCTCATCAATTCTATGATTAACCTCATCCTTCATAAATCCATCCGCCGACACGTCAACTCCTAAGTATCTGAAAACATTCACTTCTTCCATACTCCTCCTCCCCAATTTGATATCCAATTTTTCTTTATCTAAATCATTTGATACCCTCATCACCTTACTCTTTTCTATGTTCACTTTCAACTTTCTACCTTTACACACATTCTCAAACTCATCCACTAACCTTTGCAATTTTTCTTTAGAATCTCCCATAAGCACAGTATCATCAGCAAAAAGTAACTGTGTCAATTCCCATTTTGAATTTGATTCCCCATAATTTAATCCCACCCCTCTCCCGAACACCCTAGCATTTACTTCTTTTACAACCCATCTATAAATATATTAAACAACCATGGTGACATTACACATCCCCGTCTAAGACCTACTTTTACCGGGAAGTATTCTCCCTCTCTTCTACACACTCTAACCTGAGCCTCACTATCCTCATAAAAGCTCTTTACAGCATTAAGTAACTTACCACCTATTCCATATACTTGCAACATCTGCCACATTGCTCCTCTATCCACTCTATCATATGCCTTTTCTAAATCCATAAATGCAATAAAAACTTCCCTACCTTTATCTAAATACTGTTCACTATATGGCTTCAATGTAAACACTTGATCTACACATCCCCTACCCACTCTGAAGCCTCCTTGCTCGTCCGCAATTCTACATTCTGTCTTACCTCTAATTCTTTCAATTATAACCCTTACCGTATACTTTTCCTGGTATACTCAGTAAACTTATTCCTCTATAATTTTTACAATCTCTTTTGTCCCCTTTCCCTTTATATAAAGGGACTATACATGCTCTCCGCCAATCCCTAGGTACCTTCCCCTCTTTCATACATTTATTAAACAAAAGTACCAACCACTCCAACACTATATCCCCCCCTGCTTTTAACATTTCTGTCCTGATCCCATCAGTTCCAGCTGCTTTACCCCCTTTCATTCTACGTTAATGCCTCACGTACCTCCACCACACTTACATTCTGCTCTTCTTCACTCCTAAAAGATGGTATACCTCCCTGGCCAGTGCATGAAATTACCGCCTCCCTTTCTTCCTTAACATTTAAAAGTTCCTCAAAATATTCTCGCCATCTACCTAATACCTCCCTCTCCCCATCTACTAACTCCCCTACTCTGTTTTTAACTGACAAATCCATACTTTCCCTAGGCTTTCTTAACTTGTTTAACTCACTCCAAAATTTTTTCTTATTTTCATTAAAATTTCTTGACAGTGCCTCTCACCACTCTTTCATCTGCTCTCCTTTTGCACTCTCTCACCACTCTCTTCACCTTTCTTTTACTCTCCATATACTCTGCTCTTCTTATAACACTTCTGCTTTGTAAAAACCTCTCATAAGCTACCTTTTTCTCTTTTATCACACCCTTTACTTCATCATTCCACCAATCACTCCTCTTTCCTCCTGCCCCCACCCTCCTATAACCACAAACTTCTGCCCCACATTCCAATACTGCATTTTTAAAACTATTCCAACCCTCTTCAACCCCCCCACTACTCATCTTTGCACTAGCCCACCTTTCTGCCAATAGTCGCTTATATCTCGCCCGAACTTCCTCCTCCCTTAGTTTCATACACTTTCACCTCCCTCTTACTTGTTGTTGCCACCTTCCTCTTTTCCCATCTGCCTCTTACTCTAACTGTAGCTACAACTAAATAATGATCAGATATATCAGTTTTCCCCTCTATAAACATGTACATCCTGGAGCCTACCATCAACCTTTTATCCACCAATACATAATCTAACAAACTACTTTCATTACGTGCTACATCATACCTTGTATATTTATTTATCCTCTTTTTCATAAAATATGTGTTACTTATTACCAAATTTCTTTCTACACATAGCTCAATTAAAGGCTCCCCATTTACATTTACCCCTGGCACCCCAAATTTACCTACTACTCCCTCCATAACATTTTTACCCACTTTAGCATTGAAATCCCCAACCACCATTACTCTCACACTTGATTCAAAACTCCCCACGCATTCACTCAACATTTCCCAGAATCTCTCTCTCTCCCTCACACTTCTCTCTTCTCCAGGTGCATACACGCTTACTATAACCCACTTTTCACATCCAATCTTTATTTTACTCCACATAATCCTTGAATTAATACATTTGTAGTCCCTCTTTTCCTGCCATAGCTTATCCTTCAACATTATTGCTACTCCTTCTTTAGCTCTAACTCTATTTGAAACCCCTGACCTAATCCCATTTATTCCTCTCCATTGAAACTCTCCCACCCCCTTCAGCTTTGTTTCACTTAAAGCCAGGACATCCAGTTTCTTCTCATTCATAACATCCACAATCATCTCTTTCTTATCATTTGCACAACATCCACGCACATTCAGACTTCCCACTTTGACAATTTTCTTCTTCTTATTCTTTTTAGTAATCTTTACAGGAAAAGGGGTTACTAGCATTGTTCCCGGCATTTTAGTTGACTTTTACAACACGCATGGCTTACGGAGGAAAGATTCTTATTCCACTTCCCCATGGATATAAAAGGAAAAGTAATAAGACCAAGAACTATTAAGTATAAAATCAAAGAAAACTCAGATGAGTGTGTATAAATAAACGTGTACATGTATGTGTAGTGTGACCTAAGTGTAAGTAGAAGTAGCAAGACGTACCTGTAATCTTGCATATTTATGAGACAGACAAAAGACACCAGCAATCCTACCATCATGTAAAACAATTACAGGCTTTCGTTTTACACTCACTTGGCAGGACGGTAGTACCTCCCTGGGTGGTTGCTGTCTACCAACCTACTACCTACTACCATATATGCCTCTATAATTATCTACCCATCAAATGGATGAGACAATTTTGGATATTTTTTTTCAGCAAGCGATCATGTAAAAAGTACAATATACAGAATACAATATAATATTTTATCATTAAAAATACACTTGTTTTGTTATGCCACAAGCGATCACGTTCTATACACAACAGGTATTTTAATATTAAATTTAATATTAACCCTTTGAGGGTTTCGGATGTACTAGTACGTCTTACGCGCAGGGGTTTTTGACGTACTAGTACGCATAAATTCTAGCGCCGTCAAATCTCGTGGGAAAAGGCTGGTAGGCCTCCATATGAAAGAATGGGTCTATGTGGTCAGTGTGCACAGTATAAAAAAAATCCTGCAGCACACAGTGCATAATGAGAAAAAAAAAACTTTCACCGTTTTTTTGGCATAAAACAGCGACTTTGCTCTGTATTTTCGTATGGTATTTATTGTTGTATTCTAGTTTTCTTGGCCTCATTTTATAGAATGAAATGCATATCACAGAAATTGAGATGATTTTCACTGGTTTTACAATGAAAAGTACCTTGAAATTGAGCTCAAAGTAGGAGAAATGTTCGATTTTTACCAAAGTTCAAAAGTAAACAAATCATGCCAAGCGTCCAATACACGTCAACTGGTGAGTCTGACATTCTTTTGCAAGTGCGCCAATATGATTTATATCATTTTTTACACTAATGCAGTAGTCTGCATAACAGTAAATCTTCTATTTTTCGTGAGAATAAAAATTCAAAGTGGAAAGCAAAAGAATGTAAGAGGGGCCTTGAGACGTGACTAATGAACAGAAGAAATGTCATTTTAGTGCCAGTAATGTATTTCTTGTTTGTTTTTGGACCTATTCGGAAATTGGCATTTTTTGAAATTTGTGTGAAATTGGCAAAATTGCTAAATTCTGACCACTGTATTGGATAGTTGAAAATGGTAAATGGGTGGTTTCTTGCACTCATTCAATAGAAAAAAAGTAGTTCTAGCGAAATATTCATGTTTTTTGTCAACTAGTACAGAGGAATTGGCCGAAAATGGGGCTCAAATTGGGCAAAATCGCCGATGCGTAAACATCGCAGTGACCGCTAACTTTGCGAGAGCATAATTCCTTAAGTTTTCCATCAAATCACATAATTTTGGTGTCATTATGACCGGGAAAAGATTCTCTATCTTTTCATAAGAAAAAAATTTTTTTTTTCTTAAATTTGGCCAACCCTGAGAACGAGTTTCTGAGAGGGCCTGTCGACCCTCAAAGGGTTAATATTTAAATTTAACAATAATATACCTAGAAGTCAATTTCATTTGCTTCTATTAAGTATGATGTCCAGGAATCATAATTAAGTTAACAGGCAGAAAGGGAAAGGTAGTGTTAATAGATAATAAGTGTAAAGTTAAAACTTTTTTTTTTTATCAAATAAATTGTCATATTTACAAAAATAAACACTAAACTAACAAAAGTATTAATTTTTTGTCTATAAACTTTTTTCACGTGTGGTGGGTCCCTATTTTTTGGTACAAACTAGTCAAGAACTTTTTTTTTTAGTTGTAAAAGATAGCATTTCTCAATTTTTTCCTCCATCGATTTTTATTAAATGTATTAATTTCTTTCTAGATAGTAGGTTGGTGGACAGCAACCACCCAGGGAGGTACTACCGTCCTGCCAAGTGAATGTAAAATGGAAACCTGTAATTGTTTTACATGATGGTAGGATTGCCGGTGTCCATTTTTCTGTTTCATAAACATGCAAGATTTCAGGTACGTCTTGCTACTTCTACTTACACTTAGGTCACACTACACATACATGTACAAGCATATATATACACACCCCTCTGGGTTTTCTTCTATTTTCTTTCTAGTTCTTGTTCTTGTTTATTTCCTCTTATCTCCATGGGGAAGTGGAACAAAATTCTTCCTCCGTAAGCCATGCGTGTTGTAAGAGGCAACTAAAATGCCGGGAGCAAGGGGCTAGTAACCCCTTCTCCTGTATATATTACTAAATTTAAAAAGAGAAACTTTGTTTTTCTTTTTGGGCCACCCTGCCTTGGTGGGATACGGCCAGTTTGTTGAAAAAAAAAAAATGTGTGATGGGTTTATATTTGTTCTACATTGGTCAAGAACTGCAGATTTTTCTTATTGCAAGTCATTAAAGGATGAAATTTCATTTATTTTTTATCAAATGCAATGACAAGACCCCCATAGGTTCTGTTGTATGGCAGTTCTGCCCTACTCCCATGGGTCATTAGCTATCTTAAAGTGCTGTTCTCTTGTTCCCCCTCCTCCACCATTAATACTACTATTTCTTCATTAACCCTCCAGTCTCTGTCCCTTTTTTCATTACCACTATTACTTTACTATTACTATCTCTATCACTTGCACTACTACTACTAAACAATACTACTCCCTCTTCCCATTATCCCCCTCCATTTCCTTGCCTTGTATATATTCTGGCTCCCTTCCCTTCGCACTTCTCTGGGTGACTAGATAATAGTCCAAGTCGGACTGAAAAGTCGTCAAAACTTTCAGCCTCCTATTTGCAGGTTATCTGTGTATTGTTCCAGTTGTGGTATTGTGCCTTTTTTAATTCTTTTCAGCTGAGAATTTTTTTTTTTAGGAAATGCACTGCTACTGTATTTTATACATATGGCCATCTGGCATGTGTGGTGATCTGATTTACTACTTTTCTTTTAAATTGATAAAGAAATTTTAATTTGTATTAAATATCACACATTTTTTTTTTAACAAGTTGGCCATCTCCCACCGAGGCAGGGTGACCCAAAAAGAAAGAAAATCCCCAAAAAGAAAATACTTTCATCATCATTCAACACTTTCACCTCACTCGCACATAACCACTGTTTTTGCAGAGGTGCTCGGAACACAACAGCTTAAAAGCATATACGTATACAGATACACAACATATCCCTCCAAACTGCCAATATCCCAAACCCCTCCTTTAAAGTGCAGGCATTGTACTTCCCATTTCCAGGACTCAAGTCCGGCTATATAAAAATAACCAGTTTCCCTGAATCCCTTCACTAAATATTACCCTGCTCACACTCCAACAGCTCGTCAGGTCCCAAATACCATTCGTCTCCATTCACTCCTATCTAACACGCTCATGCACGCTTGCTGGAAGTCCAAGCCCCTCACCCACAAAACCTTTACCCCCTCCCTCCAACCTTTTCAAGGATGACCCTTACCCCGCCTTCCTTCCCCTGCAGATTTATACACTCTCCATGTCATTCTACTTTGATCCATTCTCTCTAAATGACCAAACCACCTCAACAACCCCTCTTCAGCCCTCTGACTAATACTTTTATTAACTCCACAGCTTCTCCTAATTTCCACACTCCGAATTTTCTGCATAATACGTATTTACACTACACACTGCCCGTAGTGTATTTTCATATTGTATTTATAAAGCCATTCTGTATTATATTGTATTTTCTTATGATCTGGGTATAAAAATATACCGTATACCAATGTGTATTCCACTGATTCAATATTTTTTCATTTAATCATGAAAGAAACCCTACAATTATTCAGAATTTCTCTAATTCACTTCTCTCATCCCTATTTAGGTCAAATAATAGAAGCAACCACTGTAATAACAAAATTATTAGAGAATGGGTGGGGTTCAAACCTATGATAGGCAAGTCCTACAACTCACAGGCCAGTGTGCTAACCACTGGCCACAGCCTGCTCGTCTGCCATGGTATGAGTCCCACCAATCCTGTAATGTGTTTGCAATCATGTTATTGCAATTTCTTCAGTCATAATAAAGACTTATTTCTGGTTAAAATTTTTTTTAATTATTCTATAATACTAAAAATTTTTCAAACTGAGGTTCAGGAATTTTGGTCATTTAATAAATTCTGAAATTTATAAATGATTCTAAAATCCAAATTTTTGAAAATGTTCTGCAATATTTGGAAATATTCAAATTCAGTAGATTTTTTCCTAATTAAAATTGAGTTTTTGATCTTAATTCAAGTATTAATAATCATTTCAAATTAAATGTTTTGCAAAACATTTCTTCTTAAACAGAAAATTCAAAATTAAAAGAAATTGAAAATTCGGAAAATCCAAATCTGAGGCCATTCTAAATACAAAATCAAACTGTCATACTTGGAAGAATTCTGACAATATTTTAAGAGAGCTCTGATGGAGAGAGACATTACCGTGTAGTATTTACTTAATTAGTGCTATACTGTATAAGACAATATTTAAGAATTACTTTTTTTCCTCAAATGTAGAATTTACAATTAACAATTATTAATGTACATTCCTCTTTACGAACAACCTGGAATTCTCAATGGAGCAGTAAGTACAGTATGTACTAGACTAAGTTTTATGCTGGGTCACTCGCTTTTCTTCTTAGAAAAAAATCGCAACTTGTTCACAACTGAGTGACAACAAAATACAGCTGCCTTAAATAGGGAATCTATTATCTGCAATATTGCAAGGCAAACCTTCTACATTTTGATGACAGCTCTGTTATCATCCTGGAATTGCTGATATCAATCCTCAGTAAATATAATGACATGAAATATGCATGCTTCCAAAAGCACAGTATGTGTTTAACAAGCAAAAGGCCATATATTCACCTTAACCATTCTGAAGAAGCCACGTCCTCCCACTGTGCTGTGGCATTCCCTGAAACATATTTACGAGGTACGGGTTCCTGAGTGCCGTCTCTCTCATGGAGACGAAGCAACACATAACAGTAAACAGGCAGTGATTAATTGAGGAATTGGGTTATCTGCTTATTATCTAGTTGTGTGAAGTTCTGTACAAGCAAATACTTCACACACACTTCCTGGACAAAAATCTACAATACATCTCTCACACATCACATTTTAAGTGTAATATCTTCCAACTATTATAATATCAATCACCCATAATAAATGTTAGCACAGTATATCTTATACATAATCAAAGAAGCCCATGTTTGTATAAGACATTTGGCAAATTTCTATAGTAGAAACAGGCTGAAAGGGCCAGTTTGTCAACAAATTTATTAGTAATTGAATGCCAAGTCTACCCTAGCTATTTAAAAAATAGTATATAAAAATAAGAAAACAATGACTATAAATAATCCCTAGATAATTATATGGGCTGACAAATTTATCACACACTCTGAAGAATTCTAGCCAATAACTTAACCACCTGTACATTAAGACATAAACCTTACTTTAATAAAGAGATCTATTTCAATAAGTTATAAGGGTCATAAGAGCCTCATCTTCTTTACAAATAAATGTACTATTGTACCTGGATCTATAAGCTATGAAAGATTCAAAATGTATATAATAATAATTACCAAACTACTGACTTGCTTAGATTAAACCAAGTACCAAAAGGGGGTTTGGAGAGTATTATCCAAAATATATAAAAGGCTATAGTACATGAAAATAAAGTACAATAAAAATGAAGATTTGACTTCCCCATGCTTTCTCTGAAGCTATAGAAAGCCTCTTCTGTCAGTATTAAACAAAAAAATAATAACCTTCCAAAAGCTACAATATCAACATAAAATCTTTGATCCCACCTTACATGTCATCTTCAGGTACATGCTACTGACCAGCTTCTAATCCCACACTGATGGCAGTTTTTCACATCTGCAAGTTCATAAGAAATTAAAAGAACTGTGCATTTAACGTCACACTCGTGTTTTCTTTTTTATGCCTTTCCTTAGCCCCTTTCCGTACCAGCCTGGTGTAATTTTTCTTTCACCTTTCTCATCTTTTTCTCTACAATCCTCGCCATCACTGATTTTTTGTTCATCCTCTTTTATTTCATTTTCTTGCTCATAATATTCTTCTTCTTCTAATTCTTCCTCATTATTATGTACAGACTCAAATTTAGACTTTCTTTTTATCCTCACCCTTTCATAAGTAAAACTCTCAAGCTTTTTCTCAAATACTGGCTCGTATTTGCGGTAGTTACATGTACGTCGTCTCTTAATAATTTCCCTTGCTTTTTCAACATCGGCATCACATGCACCTCGTGAAGGTCGGAGTCTTGCTGTTTTACACAACTCAGGGTTACTCCCATTACAGTGGCATTTGAAGACATCAACTTCAGGGAGAGCTCGAGAATCACTGGAAGCTCGAGTTCTACTTCTAGTCACGCGTCTAACAGGGACACAATCGGTATCATCTGTTGTTTCGGTATCAACCTCAGTTATCATGTTCATAGTTGGGGATGTGCCATCACTCACATAATTACCATCAATGTACTCCTTTTCTTTATTTTCAGCATTACTGTCAAATCCCCAGAACCAAATGCACTTCACATCCTCATTGTCACATCCTTTAGGTTTCCGTTTTGCTGAACCTTTCTGTCGGGCATTACTGTCATTGAGAGCTTCAGTGCATATGTTTTTAAGAATAACTGAGCTGGATTTCTCTGGACTCGGAACCACTTCATCTCCTCTGGGATTTACATTATTAGGAATCCTATTTTCACATTTAATAAGTCTGCATTCCTTCATCCCCACCATGACTGCTAAGGTACTCAAGCTTTTCTCACTGGAATTACAAAAACTTTGATGCCATATAGATTTCAACTCTTCATTTTCTGTAACACTGAGGCGAGATGAAAACTTGGAACCAATACTTTTTAACTTTGAATGTTGAGTGATGGCACTAACCTGGGCTTTGGAAACAAAGTTTTCTTGACACAAAGAAGAATTAATGCACAAGGGAAATGAGACATTCTTAGCATCAATATGAGAAGGAACAGTTACCCTTGTAATATCACTGCTTGTTGGAAGAGGAACATTTTGCACATTTCCTAGGGAAGGAAGTGGTATAGTCTCATCTTCAAACTTATCATCTGCAAGAGTTTCAACACAAGCTGTTCTGATTATGCCATCAACAACATGCGTTCGCAACAGAAAGCTCTCCTCTGTTGACCGGCTACTGCTTCGAGCTAAGGATTCATCTCTACAAGATAAAATATTGTCGATTTTTTGAACTTCACATTGGCGAGTAGTTTCTGAATCACTAATATCATTCACTTTCAATATAGAAGAAAAATGTGGTATTTCCATTGAAAACTCTGAATCATCTGTCTTTTTTAGTTGATTACATGTTCTCAAACTGGTACATGAAACATTTACTGTAGTTACATCACTCTCATGCATATTACAGTCTAGAGACTTGTGCTTACAATCACATGAAGTCAATTTGTTTTCATACTCATTTGAACACAAAATGTCATTACACTCATTTGAACAAAAAGTCAATGCAGGAGACTGACGCTGGTTGGGAAGACTAGAAGATTTAGATACACCCACAGGTATTTTACTGAAAATGGTATCACTTCCAACCAACACAGTATGATTATCACTTTGTTCATGACTGCTCATAATACTTTTTCCACCACCAGTTAGCATACCTTTTGCTGCACTACCAGTTACCCTATGGTTTGTGGTCTCCACATTACCAGCTGTTTTTTGAAGAGGGCTATCTCCTGCAGTCACACTGGTATTCAATCTTCTCTCACTATTTGAAATTAGCTTAATACTCTTATCACTTTTAGAACCATCAACAAATGATCTTATACACAGGCCAGTACCATAAAAGTCATTCTGTTTCAATAAGGCCTGGCCTTGCTTGGCCATTTGAACATTGGTAGATGCATAAGCTAACTTGAAATAGTCATAACCCGGACAACCTCCCCCCCCCCCCCCCCCCCCCCCCCCCCCCCCCCCCCCCCCCCCCCAAATTGCAACCAGAGAATGATTATCAGAATTGTTCACTTCAGATTCTTCTTGCTCGCTGGAGTCTGAATCTATACAAGAACTCTCTTCGTCCAATGTATTCTCTTCCAGTTTGTCACTCAGCCATGGCTCCCCTTCAGCGTCAGAAGTTTGAAAGTCCTCATCACTGTCTGAAGGTTCACTCTTCACTTCCATCCATATAACAGAAGTGGGGGGCCTCCCAATGTCTCACTAGTTTCAGTAGTTTTACTCTTGACTGTTAGGGCTTTGTATAGCTCTTTGTAGTGACCAGGAAAGCTCTCTCCGTTATTCCACGTTTTATCATCCTTGAAATCCATTTCTTCCTTGACATCAAATAATTTATTTTCATCTTTTATCAAATTGTCCGATTCTGCTAAAATGGATTTACCATTTTCTTTATTATCACTGTTTGTAACTTCCAATGAATGAGCATGATAAGCTACATTCCAAGCTGCATGAACACCATTCACTGGTTTTATATCTGGTTTAGTTTCAATTTTTATGTCATGTTTCTCATCTTTGACATTTTTTTCTAGATTTTCTTTTTCCAACTCTTCATTACACTTTTCACTCCCTTGTGTCTTCCCATCCCATCTCACATCATATCCTGCAACAATTGTCTCATTGTTGTCCCCCATGTCCAATGCCTCATCATCTTCTGAAGGAGGAATCAGACTTGGACGGGAAGAGGTAGCAGCTTCTGCAGTGTGAAGAGGAGTTGAAAGGTTGAAAATCGGATCAGAGGAGCGGGAATAGAAAGGTAAGGGGGTAATGGCTAAAATTCATCCCCCCATTCCCCACCCCTCCCCTTCCCATTAACCCAGAGCCTTCATTACCAATGCCATCACCTCATCACATTTACCTGAAAAGAAACTTGCATCATGCTTGCTGTTTCATCTGTGTAATCTTTTAATATGGTAATGATACTGTAGTTTCTCAAGGTTTCAAAATGTGAGTTTAAAAATACTGTAAACTTCTGTCAAAAACAGGTTTACCTTTCCTGGGTATAATATTTGAATAACTTCACACAGACAATATAAAGTAAAAAAAAAATATTAATTGTCCAAAGGAAATTCATATTATCTTACATAATCTGAAGAAAACAATATATTCTACTTCTCATTATTAAAGCTCTGTAATTGCTTGATAAAGCTCCTGGAGAGCGAAACGTTGCCACAATAAATGTCACATTAGTTGCACTTGTGTCCTTTTACTTTACAGAGTTGTAGATGCGTGGAACAGTCTTCCCAGTGGGGTGATAGAGGCTAGGACCTTGGGTAGCTTTAAGAAGAGACTGGACAAATATATGAGTGGGAGGGGCTGGGTTTGATTGGTGTAATGGGGTACGGGAGTTATTTCTTGGGTAGCTTTAGGTAGATGTCGTTTTTGATAAGGACCTGCCTGTATGGGGCCAGTAGGCCCTTCTGCAGTGTTCTTAATTCTTATTTATTATAATATATATATATATATATATATATATATATATATATATATATATATATTTATATATATATAATATATATATATATATATATAAATTATATATAATTATATATTATATTAATATATATATAATATATATATATATATATATATATATATATATATATTATATATATATATTATATATATATATATATAATATTTTTATCTATATATTATATATATACAGGGGGGCCCCACTTATACGGCAGGTTAGGTTCCGGCTACCGGTTAACGCCCGGGCCCTTGCCGTAAAAGTGGAACACCCCTTTTTTTCCACTTATAACTGCATACAAACACTAGATAACAAGTTTGTTTACACTAACATTATATTAAGTTAGCAATAGAACCAGCATCAAAAACAATAAAAAAGTACAATAACACATAGTGCACTTCATTACATACCTTAAAATATTTATAGTCTTAATCTAGGGTGAGACAAGTTGTATTTATTGTAAGAAATCAAGTGTGATACGTTATTATGGTAATAGCCAGGCTACCTTACCCAGGCCACCCCAACCCACACAATACTATTCTATGATATTTAAGCATCCAGAGCGATAAATTATTATACAGTTCACTCATTACTTACCTTAAAATATTTGTAGTCTTAATGTAGGGTCAAGGAGGTAAGTAAAATGAGGATAAAAGAATAAATGACGAGAGAGAAAAGAATGAGTACATGAGAGGGGGCAGGCGCAAAGTTATGTAAACAACCAGGCGAAGGTAAGTTTGTTAAACAAACGAATGTGTACACGTCTGGTTTTGTGTACAAGTTACATTGTTACGGGTTGTCTTACAATGATACGGTAGAATTAATAAAGAAGAACACTCCCATCTCATGTTACATCATTTTGAGAAGAAATGAAGTCTGAGTGAAGGCAATGGAAATAAGTCACACTGTCTTTTTTGGGTTATCCAAGGTTCTCTACACGTAGGTCTGTTATGTATGATATTATGTAACTGTATTTGTGTTACCTGAATAAACGTACATAACATTACGAAAGGAATAGTTTTCTACAGTTACCCCCAGTAACACATTTTTCTCTCTGTTAGATTAGAGAAATGTTATTTTCTTGCAGTACTCAGTGGTAAGTCGTCACGTGAGGATCACAGGCCATGACTGCCTTGGGATTAGTGTGGACGGTATCTACAAGCATGCTTGCTTCTGCAGGCCTGCAGTAGTGTTTAAAAATTTTTTTTGGGAGGTTGGAGAGTTGAAGGAGGAGGTCTCTTGGCTCTCCAGGAGGAGATTAGGGAGGATGAAGGGTCCACCTCAATGGTCTGGGAGCTGCGAGAGTGTGAGGTGGCTGCTGGAGTTGTGGGGAAAGAGGCTTCTCTAAAGATCAGCGAGGTGCAGTCTGTCTCCGCTGTGAGGGAGGCTGTAGTTGGGGAGGCAGCAGCAACGGTACAGCAGTTGAGGTGCAGCCCACGAACTGCTACAAGTGGCGGAGTAGTTCACAGTACTGGAGGCGCATCAGAGTAAGAGTTAAGGAGTGAAGATCTGAAGCCCAGTAGGAAATCGCTTCTCTGTTCTTCAGATGAATGTACTTCAGTGGCCAGTGAGTAAGGTTACTACTGCCCTGCTAATGGAGGTAAAGCGCATTCTTGTGGTGGTGACTCTCAGGTAAGATACATGACGTTGTTTTTGTAATAGGAATAAGAAGATGGAGAGATTAGAGTGTGCTTCCCTGAGCTGGTGTTGGGGACATTGTCAACAGGCTGGATTAATATCATGTCAGGTAATGGGAGCAAGCCCATTATCTGTCTCAGTGCTGGTGGAAATGATATTGGGAAGGGTAGGAGAGAAGGAGCTGCTAGATAAGTACAGGTCAGCTATTGATTTCATTAAGTCTAAGGGAGGGATCCCAATCATATGTAGCATCTTTCCTAGTTAGGGGAGTAGGAAATGAATGGTTGTCTAGGGCAATTGGTTTGTTAATTGCTGCTAGACAGATACTGACAAGGAACTTGCAATCCATTCATTGACAACTGAAACAACTTTTATGGCAAACATGATATGTATGCAAGGGATGGGGTTACATCTCTATGGGGCTGGGGTGGCTAGCATTGCAGACTCGACTTGGATGGCATTGGTGAAAAAAATGCCTATGATTTTAAATGATGGAAGTAGAGGTATGGGTGTGTGTGGGAAACAAGCAGTTGCAAACCTTGGGTTGGTAAACAGTAAATGTATAAAAGGCATTTCAGCATGAAGTTATAAATAAAGACAATAGATCAGGTCAGCAAACAAAAGGGGGACAGCAGAGGGCAGCAAGGACTAGCTCCTTAAGTTACTATTATGATAGCAGGAGTGTAGGAATAAGATAGATGAGCTAAGACTAATTGCAAGTGCAGGAGACATAGATTTATTGCTATAACAGAGCCTGGTCCCTCAATCTGCATAAAGATAGAGAGATTGCCCTCTGATATGTCACATACAAGGCTGTAATTATTCCGCACTGACAGGTTCAACAGGGAAAGGTGGTGGAGTAGCGATGTATGTCAGAGACAATTTAAATGTTGTGTTAGGACAAGATATTAAAGTATGAAGCGTCAGCCACTGAAATCTGTTTGGTTACAGCTTCTCGATGGGCATGAAGAAAACTAAATTTGGGTTGTGATTTACAGGCCCCCAAATCTTGATAGGGGAGTGCAGTAAAACTTTCTATGGGACGAAATTGTTTAAGGCATCTACATACGAAAATGTTGTGCCTAATAGGGGATTTCAACTATAGACAGATTGAACTGGAGCAATTTGACAGGAAATTTAGAGTCAGGATGACTTTCTTGATACGATCCAGGGATTGTTTTTTTAAAACAGTTTGTGACAGAGCCAACTAGGGGAAATAACTCTTGACTTTGGTTCTTGCCAGTAGGGGAAACATAATTAATAATCTTGAGGGTTAATGAGAGGGTTGGGGAAAGTGATCACAAATCACTCAGTTTTAATATATCATGGAATTCCCCCCCTAATAATGGCAATCAAGTCTCCGTCCCTGACTTTCGCTTGGCTGATTTCATAGACTGAAAAAAATTACTTAGGTGGGCTGTGAACTGGATGACTGACTAAGGGACAGGTATGTGGTGGATGTTGCCGATATGCATGCTTATCCAGGGATTGTTCTAGCTGCTCAGTCAAAATTATGTTCCAAATAGGGGAAATCAGATAAACAAAAATGATCCAATGGATGAACAATAGATTAAAATATCTGATTGGTCAAAAGAGAGGGATATATAGGCAAATCAAAAGAGGAGAGGGGCAATTGAAGACATGATTTATTAGTTAAAGAGAGAATAAAAAAGGGATTAGAAAAGCAAAAAGAGATTATGAGGTTAAAGTTGCAAGAAGAATGAAGACTAACCCAAAGGATTCTTTCAGGTATACAGAAGTAAGATCTGGACAAGATAGGCCCACTTCAAAAGATTCCTCGGGTCAGCTGACTGACAGTGATTAAGAAATGTGTTGAATTTTTAACACATAATTCCTCTCAGTTTTTACACAGGAGGATACCAGCGATATTCAGTTATAATGATAAATTATGTAGAACAGGGACGTTATAAACTGTGTACTTTAGGGTCACAAGTGACATGGTCCTTAAGGCAAATAGATAAATTAAAACCTAACAAATCACCAGGCCTGATGAACTGTATGCAAGGGGTTCTAAAGGATGTAAAAGAGGAGCTTAGCAACCTTTGGCTAATCTTTAAAACATATCACTACAAACTGGCATGGTGCCAGATAATGGAAATGGCAATGTGATACCTATTTTCAAAACAGGTGACAGGTCCTTAGCTTCGACTTATAGACAATAAGCCTAACCTCCATAGTGGGAGAATTTATGGAATCAATAATTGCCGAGGCGTTCGTAACCACCTTGAAAACATAAATTAATCAACGAATCTCAGCATGGTTTTACAAAGGGGCGTTCCTGCCTTAGAATTTTTAACTTTTTTCACTAAGTATTTGAGGAGGTAGATCATGGTAATGAATATGATATTGTGTATATGGACTTCAGTAAGGCTTTTGACAGGGGTCCCAATCAGCGACTATTGAGGGAACATTAAAGCACATGGAATAGGTGGAGAAATTTTTTCCTGATAGAGGCCTGGTTGACAAATAGGCAGCAGAGAGTTTGCATAAATGGGGAATGAAATCAGGAGTGGGGGGAAGAATGTCACGAGCGGTTGTTCCACAGGGGGTCAGTGTTGGGCCCCACTTGCTGTTCACAATCTACTAAACGACATAGATGAGGGCATAAAGAGCGACATCGGCAAGTTTGCCGATGCCACCAAAATAGGCCGTGAATTCATTCTGACGTGGGACATTCGAGCACTCAGGAAGATTTGAATAGACTGATGCAGTGGTGGGAGAGAGTG